TCATTAATCCCAAGAAGCAGCTGCCTTCCGCTGCCTCCGCCCCAGCAATTCTTTACCTGTCTATGATCTTGAGCCTCTCACTTCTCTGGATTTCTCACCACCAAGCTCCATCCCTGCAGGACGCCTTTCTTCCCTCCTTATTCATTCCTTCTGCACTCCCTCCCTCCATCCCTCCCTTCTTTCCCTTCTTCCAGCTTCTTTACTTCTGCCCTCGCCGAGTTTTGCCCTCTGCTTCTTCTAAAACCTTTCTCATGGCAGTGTCTGCCTGCTGAGGTCACCTCCCAGCAGCTTTCTTCAAGCTAGCCCACTGCTCCTCTTGAGTCCCTATAGATGGGGATGGGCCAATCCCACAGGTGTCTTTGAAACCTGTGACACTTGTCTGATCAAACACCTAGGAGAGCTAGAATCAGTGCCCAGGACTGACAAAGTGACATCTGGAGCTGGCTGCAAAGAGCTCTGGGACAAGGGTGACACACTTGTGGGTAGCCATCCCTCAAACATTCCAATGATCATCAGCGGAGCCCATAGCTTCATCCTCTGGCCCTGCCTATAAAGCACATTGCACTGTCTTGCCTCTGAGTTTCTGCCAGTTCCGATTGTGCTCAACCCTGCTCTACAGAAAAAACGCTCTTTCGAAGTCGTTCCTTGGACTTCCTTGGGAGGATGCCTGGTCCCAGTTGTCAAAGTACAGAAGAGTGAGAGAAATTATGGTGCTAGATAGCATATCTTTTGGATGTTGTTTTGGTTTTGCTTTGGTTTTTTGCTTGCTTGCTTGTTTGTTTGTTTGTTTACAAATTAGTGACAGGGTTCTAAAAAGACAGGTGGAAGTTGCTTTTGGAACTGAGACACTGAAGTTAGCTTGAGTGGATTCCAAAGGAATGAGACAGTACTTATTCATTTAAGAAATTCTTTGCCTTCAAATATTCTCTCTTGATTAAAAATTTGCCAGCACACTGTCTGTACATTCAGAAGCCTCTTTTGTGTATTTAGTTTTTTGTTGGATTTTTTTTAAACCTCTTGGTAGACTCATAAGAAAAGGGGGGGCAGGGAAGGATTTCATTTCTACAACAAAATGCCTTTGGGAAGATTGCTGGTTTTGGCAGCAGGCAAAGGGCTTCTTGAACTAAGGATTTCTGTTGCACAATTGAAACAGTCCCCATGGCAACCAGTCATCAAGCTCTGCCGATCTTTTCATAGACACTCTCCACCCAGGAGGCCCTTTGCATCCTGTAGATGTTGTATTTGCATCTGTGAGCCAGAAATCTCTGCTTCTTCCCATCCAATTAAGGACATGCTCAGATGTCAAGACACTAGTCAAAGGCATCCCATGTTCCCTTCTAAATGGTTCCTCTGGTGGGAGTGGAGTTACATTTTTATGAGTCAGGGATAATTTTTTAATGTCTTTAATTGTTGTGATAAATGAGATTTTCTTTTACTCATAAGAGCTGGTTTGAGTGCGCTTCACGGGTGACTGAGGAAAAGATGTGTGTGGCTACCTTGTCAGCCCGTGTCACTGTTTCCCTAAGACCCATTGGGTGAAATCATTTGTGAGGTACCTACTCACCTGATCTCTTCCAAGCCCCCCCCCGCTCTGCTCCAGCAGGCAGCTGCTTTTGAGCATCCTGGGGTGTGGGCTGGAGCCCAGGGGTCATCCTGTGCCACTAGATCCTTCACCACCTCCTCCTCACCCGCCCTTCTCAGTCCTCTGACTGCTGCTGGGAACACTGAGCCTCTGCTTCTCAGAGTCCGCGAGTCAGAAAGATGGTTTGAAACACTTGGCTATACTTCTTACAGTAGCTTTCACAAATAAGAAAATAATCTGTGGCCATTGTTCAGTAAAACTGGGACAAGACCCAGATTTCCTGATCCCCTTTCAGAGAGAGAGGGAGCAAGGAATGGAGAGGGAGGGAGGGTAGGAGGGAGGGAGAGAGAATTTCTATTTTACCCACTTTGCTTTTTCTTAACTTTAAACTATCAAAATTCCTAGATAAGAATCTTTGAAACACCAAGTTTTTCGTGGAGTACCCATGCTTGAAAACTTAGAAAATAGGCAAGAGTAAAGGAAAGAAGGAATATAGCCAAGCACAGTCTCACCACACAGATAAAGGAACAGTAGGGTTTGGGTTAGGGTTTGTGTTAGGGTTAGGGTTAGCGGTTAAGGTTAGAACTAGAATTAGGGTTTGGGTTAAAATTAGGGTTTGCATTAGTGTTAGTGTTTGTGTTACTGTTTGGGTTAGGTTAGGGTTTGCGTTAGGGTTAGTGTTTGTGTTACTGTTTGGGTTAGGTTAGGGTTTGAATTAGGGTTTGTGTTAGGAGTTTTATTAGAGTTGAGTTAGGGTCACTGTTTGGGATAGGATTAGGTTTGTGTTAGGGGTTTTGTTATGGTTACTGTTTGACTTAAGATTGGTTTGGGTTTTTTTAGTGTTCTCTTTATGACAAATAACTAATATTTTACTTGGAAGTAGTCTGTTAGAAAAAGAACCAAAATACCAATTAAGAAACTGATCCATAGACTTCTCCACTCAAGCAGCTGTGTGGCCTCGGCAAGATGCCACACTTCAGTTTTAATGCCATCTGCTCTCTTGGACTGGATGGTTTCTCTGCTCCGGTGCTGGTGTTGCTGGCCAAGGAAATCACTGGAATAGATAGCCCAAAGACCCTCTGCAGCTCTAACACTCACGGGTTCTGACCTACATACCACAATACATAGAACCAAATCTAAAATTGAAAGGCTGGTGGCAGGCACAGTGATCACACAGTTAATCTCAGCACTCGGGAAGGAAGAGTTTGAGACGAGCCTCAACTACATAGCTCCATAATCTCAGGGAACCAAGGCTACATTGTGAGGCCCTGTCTCAAAAAATACATGCATCTATACATACATACATACATACATACATACATACATACATACATACATAAAGGCTGTTAAGGAATGAGGCTCTTTCTTTAAAAATCTTATAATTTATTTAATTCTTTCCTCAATCTCTGATTTGTTTAGCTACAAGGCCAGCAAGGGGGAGTCAGCATCCGGGTCCTCCCACGCAGTGATGGATATCTCTCTGCCAACCGGAATTGGAGCAAACCAAGAAGATTTACGTGCTGCAAGTGTTTCTTTTGAGATGCTGTGAATGTTGGGGTTTCTTTCCTGTTATTTTATGGGAATAAATATATTTATATATTTATTTTATATATAAATATTTATATTCTTTTACTTTAATACCTCACTCTTGTAAAATTACCCAAAATATTCTTCCCAAAACAAAAATCTGATTTTTATGGAAATGAAAAGGAGCGTCACTTAACCAACGCGTGTGAGCATGTGCAGCAATGTGAGCACGCGCAGCAATGAGAGCACACCAGCAGTGGGAGCACACCCAGCAGTGGGAGCACACCAGCAGTGGGAGCACACCAGGCATTGGGAGCATGCGCAGCAATGGGAGCACACCAGCAGTGGGAGCATACCAGCAGTGGGAGCACACCAGCAGTGGGAGCATGCGCAGCAATGTGCACAGGGAGTCCAGAAGGAGGCACCGTCCTTCAACTCAGAGTGACGGAGCATACTCTAGTTTAATCAGGGAGGAAATGTAATTAAACACAAAGATGAGAACGTAAATTCAAGTTCTCTCTCTCTCTCTCTCTCTCTCTCTTCTCTTCTCTTCTCTTCTCTTCTCTTTCTTCCTTAGCTTGTGGAAGGAGTGGATCAACTTCTGACTGATTACCAGATCAAAGATGACCATGTTATTCTGCAGCTGAATTCGGTAAGCTCCGCCTCCAAGCATTCCCGCCTCCCATCACACCCCTACAGGCTGAGCCATTGTGAATACCTCTCCCCCCACAACTCCCTTACAACCTTGAATTTGTCCGACAGATTCCCTCCAGAGATTTCCTTTGCGTCCGATTCCGGATATTCGAACTTTTCCAAGTTGGGTTTCTGAACCCTGCTACCTTCACGGTGTATGAATATCACAGACCAGGTAAGAAGCGCTGCTCGGTCCTACAGTTTCCTCTGACTGTTTCCAAGGGAGGCCTGCTTCTTAGAGCCTGCTTCGGAAAGTCCAACCTGAACACTTATTTTTAATACTGCATTCAAACGACTCCGTGATCAAGCGATCGGTTCATGTCTCGGTCCTTAGCTTCTTCCTTTTTAAAATAATTTTACTCTATTACCCTCAACGGTAAAATATTCTACCTCAAGTTCCTTTGTGGCAGTCACTGCCTGTGTCCCTTGAATCGTTGCTCTCTCAAGGAGCCCAGATACTGTTCCAACTTCTTCACCCTCTCAGAACAAGCGCCACCCTTTCTGTATTCTCCTCACAGCTGGCCCACAGATCTACAGTTGCCACCTGGCACTGAAATTATTTTTCTACCATTCCCACCAGCCCACACATGTTCACCCTCATGCCCTGGTATGTAGCGAGCATCCAGCATATGTGAACTTAGCTCAGCTCCTTGTGAGAAGGTGATGTCATCACATGCCTTCTCATCCACTTGGACAGTTGTGTTCATTAGAAAACCCTTACGTGGAACAAACACTGACCTTGGCTTTCTCTTCTGAGATCACATAGAGCATATCTAGTCCCTCTTCTCATATATATGCATATATGTGTATGTGTGTATGTATATATCACATGTCTCATATGTGAGTGTACGCTCCTCTAGCCTAAGTAGTTGTAATTCCTTCAAAAGATCCTGAAGTAATATAATTTACTTTTCTCATTCTTGGGAGCACTTTCATTCTAAGAAATGAGTATTGAACAGTAAAATTCCAAGCATGGAGCCAAAATAACCAAGTGGAGATAGGAGGGTTCTGTGGGGATGGGACGCTTCCAGGACAGCCAGTTGGCACAGACAGTCTCTGAAGCCCCTTGTAGGAGATGCTTCTTGTGACCGTGTCTCCGTTTCCACAGACAAGCAGTGCACCATGTTCTATAGCACCTCTGACAGCAGACTCCAGAGAATGTGTGAAGGAGCAGCATGCCGATGTATGGAAGGTGACGTATCTTACGCTGCCTGTCCCTGTCTGAAGGGACGCTTGGAACGCTGTTTAGCCAAGCCATGGTTTCTTAGAAGTAGATATATAATCTTAGCTGACTGAAAAGTAAAGATTCCCTAGGCCTCTTCCTTACAGCTCCCAAACACCCTGGTGGGACCTGGTGGAACCCTAGTGGGACCCTGGTGGGACCTGGTGGGACCCTAGTGGGACCCTGGTGGAACCCTAGTGGGACCCTGGTGGGACCCTGGTGGGACCTGGTGGGACCCTGGTGGGACCCTGGTGGGACCTGGTGGGACCATGGTAAGACCTGGTGGGACCCTGGTGGAACCCTAGTGGGACCCTGGTGGGACCCTGGTGGGACCTGGTGGGACCCTAGTGGGACCCTGGTGGGACCTGGTGGGACCCTAGTGGGACCTGGTGGGACCCTAGTGGGACCCTAGAGTGGGACCCTGGTGCGACCTGGTGGGACCCTGGTGGGATTTAGTGGGACCATGGTAAGACCTGGTGGGACCCTGGTGGGACCTGGTGGGACCATGGTAAGACCTGGTGGGACCCTGGTGGGACCATAGTGGGAACCTGGTGGGACCCTGGTGGAACCTAGTGGAACCTGATGGGACATGGTAGGACCCTAGTGAGACCCTGGTAGAACCCTGGTAAGATCCTGGTGGGACCTGGTAGGACCCTAGTGGGACCCTATACAAGAGCAGAAACTCCATCCAGACAGTTACTGAGTGTCCTGGGTGGACATGATGTAGTTTCTTTTTTACTTTCACCTATTTTTTTTTCTAGTCAAAAGACCATAATCAAAGAGAACAAAGCTGGAGGGGTAGGCCACTAGGACTTCCTTTCTGTCTTTTAATTATAGTTCATGGGATTTTCTGTCACTTCTCCAAGTGACAGAATTTTGTCTCTTTGAAATCAAAGGCCCTATTGGCAACTCACCAAAACTCATCAGAAATCAGCATGGTTTCTCTGTGAGTCTAGGTTGGTTTTGGTTTTGATTGGTTTGCCCATCTAGTAGGGTTTGTTTATTTGTGTCTGTTTTGTTGTTTTGGGTTACTTTTTGTTTTTATACTTCTTAGGTCCTTATTGTATCACCTTATAGCTATAATCAAATCATCATTTTGCATTTCATTAGATTCCTAAAATGGAAAGTTACTCCCTGCTTGCTTCCTTCACAGGAAGGGTGTGCTTTTCTGATGAGCAGGTTGTGGAATAAACAACCACATAATAATAAGTCTGCAATTAAGACCTTGGTTGGCTGGTTTAACTTTTGCCTTATATAATGTTTCACTTCATGAAAGAGAAGAAAATGGACAGGTCTTAGGAATCTGGCATTTGTAAGAAAGGATCCCAGCTTGTCTTGGGGCTCATGGGAGACTCATACAGAGAGTGCCCCCTTCCGTCCACTAACCTGTCACCCACTCTCCACACAATCTAGCTGACTGTGGGCAACTGCAGGCGGAGCTAGACCTGTCCATCTCTGCAGACAAAAGGAAAGAAACAGCTTGTAAACCAGAGATTGCATATGGTAAGTGCAGACATTCAACAAGAGTTAAACATGAAATTTCATCATACGTGTTCAGTTAGAAATATGGAACACTGCATGTTAGTGACATTGTGTGGATAGAACATTTCTTTGAGTCTCTTGAAGGAAAATGTCAACTTTTAGCATTAAGGTACAAAGTTATATGGTATTCAGCAAAGAAGTACGATCTTCCATTAAAGATAATCAGACAGACAAGTGCCCAGCAAAACACTTCCCCTACCAGGTGCTTCTCAAAAGATGTACTACACTTATTCCAAGAAAACATTTGAAAAAAACCATTGGGGCCTAAGGAATGGCTCAGTGGTTAGGCATATGTAATGCTCTTCATAGGCACCCATGCTGGACAGCTGCCAACCTTCCATAACCCCCTCTCCAGAGAGCCAAGATGTCTGGCCTCCATGAGTACCTGTGTTTGTGTATACTAATGCATAGCCCCCATACACACCAAATCTAAAAATAACAAGAAAAGAAGGAACAAAGATGTAGTCAGAGACTCTGCACATTCATTTCCTGGCCACCCAGACCCGAACAATCACACAGAAACTATATTAATTACAATACTGTTTGGCCAATAGCTTAGGCATATTCCTAGCTAGCTCTTACATCTTAAATTAACCCATTTCTATTAATCTGTATACCACCACGAGGCTGTGGCCTACCAGTATCTTTCTGGTTCTGGCATCTTTCTCCTTCGGCAGTTACATGGCATCTGCCTGACTCTGCCTTCTTTCTCCCAGCATTCAGTTTAGTTTTCCTGACTATCTCTATTCTGCCCTGCCCATAGGCCAAAGTAGCTTCTTTATTAACCAATGGTAATAAAACATTTACAGCATACAGAGGGGAATCCCACATCACAAAAGCAAGCAGGAAGGAAGGAAGGCAGTTTATAGAGTCTTAGGATCTCAGCAATGGATTCTTCCAGTAGAGACAGTAGAGTAGGGGGAGAAAAAAAAACAAAGGCTATTTCTTTACATTTTCCTTTAAGGCAAAGAAGGGGCAACTAAATAATTTTTGATATGTACGGCGTTGCTGTCTGTGCTTGGGGCTCTCCTCATTTCTGATTATCCAGAGCTCAGATCTAAGTTCACATGGATGACTAGAGGCTGTAGCCAGTCCCTGAGAGAATTAAATCCTCCTGGTGATTTGAATGAGAATGACCTCCATAGCCTCCATACATTTGAAAACTTGGTCCTTTCAAACAGTTGGTAGACCTGTTCAGAAAGGAGGTATGTCACTGGGGACAGGCTTCAGCGTTTCCAGAGTCCATGCTATTCCCAGGCTCTCTCCCGAGGGTGAAGATACAAGCCATTCTGTCTGCATGCCTTTGCTGTCATCATGGGCTCTAATGCTGAAGTCATACTCCTTCTGAGCAGCTTTGATCCATGCATCTTATCACTGCAGTAGAAAACTAAGTAACTAAAAAAATTGACTTGGGGGTTAGAATACTGGCTGCTCTTCCAGAGGACCCAGGTTCAATTCCCAGCACCCACATGATTGTCTGTAACTATCTACAACTCCAGTACGGAGGGAGGGAGGAAGGGAGGGAGGGAGGGAGGGAGGGAGGGAGGGAGGGAGGGAGGGAAGGAAGGAAAGTAAATAAGTCGCTCCTTTATCTTTGGAGTCAGATGCTGCCCATTGTGGTGTGAGGAGCGTCTGCCTGCCTTCCATTCCCTGTGTCTATTTCAGATGTTTCTGGTTTGTTTTTGGGTGTTTTGTGTGTCTGGGGGGGGTAATATTATACACTATTATTTTCAAATTCTTTCAGGAGAACATTCTTTCCAGTTTAAACATACACACAGCTGGTTTGGCTTTTTTGTATGTTTTGTTTGTGGTTTTTCGCTGGACATCTTAGTTCTTTTTCCATTGCTGCAATAAAATACCATGACAAAAGCATCTAGGGAGAAAGGCTTCGTTGTGGCTTGTTATCCCCACCATGGTGAAAAGACATGACCACAGGCAGAGAAGGCACATTGCATCTTTACTCAGGAAACTGAAAGGGAACAGGAAGTGAGCCTTGTCTATAAAGCTGTAGGGCCCACCCCCAGTGACCTGCTTCCTCCACGAGGGCTTCATTTCTTAAAGGTTCTACAATCTTTCCAACCAACTGGGTAACAAGCATTCAAACACATGATCTTTTTCTCTTTTTTTAAAGTTTTTTTTTTATTTATTTATTATGTATACAATGTTCTGCCTGCATGACAGAAGAGGGCTCCAGATCTCAAGACAGATGGTTGTGAGCCACCATGTGGTTGCGGGGAATTGAACTCAGGACCTTTGGAAGAGCAGGCAATGCTCTTAACCACTGAGCCATCTCTCCAGCCCCGATCTTTTTCTTTTATTACAAGACTTAGTTATTATGTATACAGTGTTCTGGATGCGTATACTGCACTCCAGAAGAGGGCACCAGATCTCATTACAGATGGTTGTGAGCCATCATGTAGTTGCTGGGAATTGAACTCAGATCCTCTGGAAGAACAGCCAGTGCTCTTAACCTCTGAGCCATCTCTCCAGCCCCAAATACATGATGTTACAGAGGACACCTCACACTCAGACCAAACATGAGTGCCATAAGAACCCTTTAAAGCAGCAGTTCTCAACCTGTGGGTCACCACCCCCTTGGGGTTGAATATCAGATATTTACATTATGATTCATAACAGTAGCAAAATTAAGTAATTTTATTAATTTTTAAAATAATTTTATGGTTGGAGTCACCACAACTTGAGAACTTTATCAGACAGTCCTCAGCCTTAGGAAGGCTGAGAACCACTGATCTATAGCACCAAACCGCTGTCACTATTTCCAGTGAAGAAACTGAGGCTCAAGGAGGTTAAACATTTGCCCGAGGCCACGAGGGACATAATGACAGGAATGGAGTGACCCTGGTCCTGCTGCTGCTGCTGTCATGATCTGCAGAATCAATTCCTGTTATCAGAAGGAACTTCATTTCCTTCCTTTGAATTTTTCGTTTCTTTTTTCTAATCTAATAAATAATTGGCTGAGGGTTTTGGGAAGACCCATGAAATAACTGAGCTTCACCCCAGGGTGCCCTGATACCTGCCATCCACGGTCCTCCTCCGATGACAAGCCCTGGCTTCTCCTGGGGGGGTGGGGGGGACTGGTGGTGTTCAGTCGGAGGTGCCTCATTTTGTCCTATTTTGTTTTTACCAGCTTATAAAGTTAGGATCACATCCACCACCGAAGAAAACGTTTTTGTCAAATACACTGCGACTCTTCTGGATATTTACAAAACAGGTGAGATCTCCTCTCCCCACCTCAGCCTTTAGTGCATCGTACCAGTCAGACACTGCGTCAGACGTGGGGGCCAGGGCTGCGTTGGACGTGGGGGCCAGGCGCTGCGTCAGACGTGGGGGCCAGGCGCTGCGTCAGACGTGGGGGCCAGGCGCTGCGTTGGACGTGGGGGCAATGACTTGAAAACAGTCACAGAGTTTCACCTTCATGAAGTTTCTATTTCTCATTGAATTCTCTTATCACAGATTTCAGCAAATGCTATGTCAACATAACCATCGTTAGCTTTTGTGTTCCATTTAAGCTTCTTAAAACACACATTTTATTACATCCATTTGCGCATGCCTGTGTATCTGTGGCATACACGGGGAGGTCAGAGGACGACTTGCTGGAGTTGGCTCTCTCCTTCCACCGTGTAACACCTGGTCCTTGAACTTAGGTCATCAGGCTTGGAGCCGAGTACCGTTCCCTGCTGAGCCATCTTGCTGACCCTTAGAACACATCTAAAATGAAATAATTACTGATTAAGTAGCTTAAGCTTATTGCCTTGTTGATATGTCCAAACAGCCAGTTTCTCATTTGAGTAAATATAAATTCTGCAATAAGTAGGACCTTAAGTCTACAATAGTAATATGTTTTTCTTTTTTTCTTTTTTTTAATATTTTTATGGTTTATTTAACTTTATTTTATGTGCATTGGTGTGAATGTGTCAGATCCCCTGCAACTGGATCTTCAGACAGTTGTGAGCCGCCATGTGGGTGCTGGGAACTGAACCCTGGTCCTCCGGAAGAGCAGCCAGCGCTCTCAACAACTGAGCCATATCTCCAGCCCCCAGTAATATGTTTTTCTTGATGTGTAGCTTTGTAAATTCTGTCACAATGTCCGAAGATCCTTGGCTCAAATTGTTTGATACCAGTGCTCGCTTGCTATCCACAGACACCCAGATGGCTCTGATTTCACTTGGTGTCAGGTGGTCCCAAAGTCAAAACCCTCGTTAGTGCCATTTCCTCTTTGTCTTATGGCTTCTGAAGATTAATTCTAGTGAACTTGAAAGGCTAAGCAAGTTTTTGGTACTTTATCTCCTCATCTTGGATGCTCATTTTAATGCTTATTAGAAATTTTGAATTCACAGAACTATCAGAAACCCACATGTGTCCTACTAACATAGAATCAAGGTACATTGATAAATTGTTATTTCTATCCGTTCAAGGAGGCTAGGAGCAGGTGAGAACCCAGGGACAGAAGGAAAGCAGTGTGCTCACGGAAGTCAACTGTTCTCTGCTATTTGGAACACAAACTGTTTCACTAACAGAAGGCTGTGAACTCTCCAGGGTTGACATGCTGCTTTCTCTACTGTGGCTGGCCTGAGGGTGCAGGAATGTGGCTCAGGCATTGCTACAACAGGAAGCTGTATCCCCAGACAGTCTAAAAAGCCCTAGTCTGAAGTACTGTATGTATGCAGGAATCTAGGGACCTAGAAAAAGTTATGTCTGCTGCAGTTATATACCCCCGACTGGCAGGTTCAAGAGCCAGGCTTTAACTGCTAGGGAGACTGTGTCACAGTTTGAGAGCTGAATAACGGTCCTTAATATCATAGAATGACTCAGGTGCGATCCCTGCCTCAAGATTCCAGTGTGTC